GCTTCCGCGCACTCCAGGGCAACCGCGCCCCCCGCCCCCCCGGCGGCGCCATGACAGACGGGGCGCGGTCAGTGCAGCAGGATTTTATTGGGGCCCGGGCCGTTCACTTGCTGCTGGTGTACTTGGTGACGGCCTTGGTGCCCTCGGAGACGGCGTGCTTGGCCAGCTCGCCGGGCAGCAGGAGCCTCACGGCTGTCTGCACCTCGCGGCTAGTGATGGTGGAGCGGTGGTTGTACTGGGCCAGGCGCGAGGCCTCTGAGGCCAGCCGCTCAAAGATATCGTTGACAAAGGAGTTCATGATGCTCATGGCCTTGGAGGAGATGCCAGTGTCTGGGTGCACCTGCAAGACAGTAATCAAGCACTATCTCACACACCCATCACCCTGGAGGGAGTGGGGGCCCCAGTGCCCCCAGAAAAATTTGGCTGCCGTTCCCACCCCAGACAGGGCACCCTAACCCCAAAGGGACCCACAGTTGCCACCCTGAGGGTCTTGAGTTGTGTGCCACTTGCATTAGACTGAAGAGAGGCCCCCATGATACTATAGTAACTTTGGGCTTGTGCTGGCAGGAGCCTCTGCACAATCCCCCATGGAAAACAAGCCTGTAAGAGGTGGAAATGCCCACATGCTCCAAGTCCTGCTTACAGCCTCATGCAGGCAACTGAGGCCTAGACAACTCATGGCCACCTCTTGAAATTCTTTTTCTCATCTCCTCAACAGAAATTACCAGAAAGATTTTAATGCTTACTCATAGGACCAACAGCAGCTGTTCTTGCTCTGTTGACTTCTTCTTTAGGCAGAGCCATGCACGAGAGCTTATTCTCTCTAGGAAACCCTTTCTGATCTAGATACATCTCATCTCCTACCTCAAGAACACACACACACACTTTTGAGACTCAGCTGCAGCTCTCCTGTACCCACTCACTCCTTTTCCATCTCACTAAAAAGCAGATTTTCCTTCCTTTCTTTTTATAAGGTTAACATGCAGTGGTCAGAATTAACTTTACATATGAAGCAGTTTCTAGCAGAAAAGAAACATTTACTCACCTGCTTCAGTACTTTGTAGATATAGACTGAATAGGTTTCCTTTCTCTTAGGCTTCCTCTTAGACTTCCTGTCCCCAGAGGTAGGAGCATGTCCACGCTTCTTCCCAGCTTCTGCACTCATCTCAGCCTCCAACAGAGCAATCAGTAGCTGCCATGGGGCTGGTTATATAGCAAAGGCAGCAGTACCTCACCTACCTCAGGTGCACCCCCCAAGGCGCGGGACAAATACACATCTGTGACTGATGATTCCACTTTGCACTAAGTGAAAGGCAGCTGGCCTGAGAGGCTCTTGGAAGTAACTGATTCAATTAAACTTTTGGACCTGAGAAAAAATTTGAGGGTGACATGGGCAAAGAGGTGGGCAAGAGCAGGAACATCTCATTCACATGGGGCAGAAGTGCCAGAGAAGAGCTATTCCCAAGTCCATCCAGGGTTTTGGTGAAAGGAGGGTTCCTGCTTTGGTGGAAGGGTGTAAATCGGAGTACTCAAGGTATTGCTTCCAGGATCAAATGGGTAGAACCACTTCTGTGCTATGGAACAGATAATGCAGTCAGTGGAGACTCAGTAACTGGAGGGAACATTGGTCTAGTGACTGAATGATAGCGTTATAAACATCCCACTGCCAGTATTCCTCCCACTGTCTCAGCTAGCCTGCTCTTGGGAGTCCTGCCTGCTACACACAACAGGGCATCAAAGGACAGAAGGGAGGCAGTGGGAGGGGAGGGCTAACACCCTGAGTATGTATTTGATCTCTCTTGGAAACCCGTGATCACACTAGTGATGATAATTATGATGCAGGAATTAAGCTAAGCCAGGAAAAAAAAGTGCAGCAACACAGTAGAGAAGTGAACAAAATAGAAGTTTTCTGTCCTTTAGATAGAAAAGGAAGCCTTTGTCTCAGTAGGCACCACAACAGATATTTCATGAAAGGGTAATACTAATATGTACCTTTGGGGGACAGGATGCTGGTATCTCTGTGCTGCCATGCACACTGTCTCCTGTGCAGGGGCACATGTTATACAGGCATATCCTTAGCAAATCACATCTTCCAAGGACTGAGTTTGGGAGACCTACTCATCAGTCACTCTGCCAGTGCTTGGATAGGCAATAGCATTTCACTGAATTCAGTTTTATTCTAGGCCTGTCCTCATGGCGAGGCACCTGATCACCCACCCCTAGTGTAAATAAACATCACAGTGACAAATGGGGTCTAAGTATCACAGAAGGGCTTCTTGCACCCAAGAACTGAAACATTAGCAATCAGGTGGGACAGGCTGGAATGGTCATGTCAGCATATTTGTGAAGGGGAACGGGCTTGGGCATTGGAGATATGGGGTAGTGGGATCCTTCTGGGAATGGGAGTGGCATATTCTGTGATATCGAACATCAAGAGATGTCAGTGGATGACTCATACAGGCAACATCACCACTTCTGTTTCATAAGAGGCCATGCATCGATAAGGAACAGCACAGGGCTTACCCCTCTGATGTTCATTCCACCCACCTGCCGATTTACAGAGCTGTAAATAGCTGAGATCTTTGTATAGGGCGAGACTGTTCACTGTGACTGGAACTGTTTTACCTTTTCCACCAGTCATAGCACACAAAGGCGCTCTCATGCTAAAGGAGCTGTTAGCCATTGTACCTCTCCACAGCTGCAACTGTGTCTGGCACTGGCGGTTATACACACACAGCTTGTTTTTCTGACAAAATGTTTAGTTAGAAGGAAGCCCTTTGGTGGACAAGGAGCAGTGACTGATCACTCAGCATTAAGCACAGGGAGCCATTATATAGCAAGGGCAGAGGCTCATCCACTGAGCAGTATAGTGAAATGTGAACTCCCAGATTTGGGGAATTACCATCTGCTTCCGTAGATTGCATGTGCTAGAGGCTGTCCATTCTAGAACCAGTGTGCTGGGCTTGACTCATCTTTGTGCTATTTTTGTAGTGTATGGATTGACTCACAACACAAAGACAAGGGAATCCCACAGCCCTGCACTTGATGTAATATCTGCCACTTCTGGCTGTAGCTGTGTTAGAGCCAACCTCACTTTTAGACTACAAGCGAGAGTAATGGTATAGAGGTTCTAGGCCACTTCTTTCACAGAAATGACCATCCTAGCAACTAAGGAGCAATTATCATAATTTATCTAGATATAGTTTTGCTTTTGTGCACGACCAGAAAAGCCCTAGCTGAAACAGTTCAAAATGTCACTGCCCCAGCTAGTGGCTGTCTCTCTCACAGAAATCAGTACTCCGGGACATACGCCTGCCACCACTGCTTCAGTGCAGTCTAACAAACTGTCACCACGGAACAGGTTTAAATCAAGGCTGAAATACCAGACTGATAAAGCATGTATATATATTTCATTTTACAAGTCCTGGCCTACTAACTGTGACCTCTAGTGCAGTTACAGCTACTTTTGCTTTGAACATGTACCTGTGGTCCTTGTTTGCTAAATCAGAGATCTGTCTGCAACTGAGAAGTTCTTCTCATTTCGCAGCAGCAGACAGCTAACACAGCTCTCCTCTGCTACATCAGCTACAAGAATTCTCCAACTACTGTCCATCATGCTGGCTGTCATCCCAATGTTCCCATGCCCTTCTCAGGATTTACCATTCCCAAAGAACTCAGTGTAAGATTATATCCTGCATTTGTTATTGCCACCATGGCTCTCAACTACACAGATCTGAAATGTAGTGGTAAGAGTTATTGCCAAATCTTTGCTAAGACTAAGGAAGAGCAGAATGAACAGCTCTAGCCTCAGGCAGGACTCCTTGACCTCACCATTCTCATAGCTACTAACATCTTTTTAAAACCTAGAGAGCAGAACAAACAAAGACATGCATTCATCTATTCTTGTTTCAACTCCTGTGACACCAATCAGCCTTTACACTAATTACTTATCTGTGGGTTGCTTTTACTCCATCACTGTCTGTAAACTTCTGAGTACTACACTGTGAGAGTCATTTGACTTTCAATGCAATCTGGACTTTTCTGCAGAACTAACTTGAACAGCATTTATACTAATCTGCATTATTTTTTTTTTTCTCTCAGATCATTGCTAAAACCACTGAAAAAGCTGAATTTTCTGCACTATCTACTGGAAGCAGCTCCCATTGTGACATTTGTCCTATGGATGATACGTAGTGCTTCTATAGCAGCAGTCACAACTTGGATGGTCCCTTTAGAAAAAAACAAGGAAATACTCTACTCAAAAAGTCAGAGACACAGTCAGCATCTGAGAAAGTACTCCAAGAGAGTACAGCTACTACATATTTGACTTATTCTTCAATTTGCCTGTCAACATGTGCTAATGGAACCGGTTACTGGGCTACGTGAACCTTTCACATGACCAGTGCAGCCATTCTCATGTGTCAGAGTAATTAAAATGGTAATTCATGATCATAAGAAGCTATTTAGTTTGATTTGCTACCTTTTTCCTTAGTACCTTTTCTTTTAAAAATACATGAAAAATATATTTTATTCAAGCTTCTGTGGAACAGGGTGAGGTTTAAACACAAACTTCTCTAAAAATTTGTTATTAAGAACAAAAATAAATGTTAAAATAACTTTAGTTGATTAGTCTTGTTTAGTTAAACCTGCAAGGAACAAATAACTAATTTGTAATCCAAAAATCCTAAATTAGAGTCTCATTATTAGACCCATAAGATTCAAGGTGAAGGAAAAAGCATACACCTAAGCCACTCTGTTGTAGAGAATGCACACTGGTATTTTATAGATCTATATTCTGTCTCTAACTTCCAGTCTTCAGAACCCTTTCAAGTTGTATCTGTCAGCAACAAAAAAAGCATGCATGGCTTGCTCCCCCTTCTGTCACTAACTGGAAAACCCAGTGTTCACTCTGGATTAGCGGGTTTCCCAGGTGTGAGGATCCTATTCACTGCTCTGTACCTCCACAGCTCAGTACTCACCATTTCATGCATCCTACAAGTTCTGGTGATAACTTTGGTAGTACTGAAGAACTGAACCTTCACCCCAGAAGAAAGGGCTCTGCATCCTTACTCAAAGCTCAGCACTAGCTGATTTGCCCCAGCATGCCCCAATAACTACTACAGCTCACAAAACAAGACTGTTCTTCCCTCTTTATTGACTGATGGATTCTCAGATCTGTTTATTACACTGTTAAATAATAGTTAAAAACAAACCATGCCCCAGCATGCCCCAATAACTACTACAGCTCACAAAACAAGACAAGACTGTTCTTCCCTCTTTATTGACTGATGGATTCTCAGATCTGTTTATTACACTGTTAAATAATAGTTAAAAACAAACCAAGGCCAGAGGAGTTTGAAGTGAAGTATCTAAACTGAAGCAGAAATTGGGAAGGAAGAGGCGGGAGAAGCTGGGCTGGGGTCTCCACTTCTGTATCACTGCAGCTCAGACACCCTAACTGCCACTGCCATGACCCCAGACCATTAGATTCCAAGGCCTGGCTCAGATGGGACATCATCTAAATACGGAAATGGTTGCCCAAACGTAGCCAGATCAGGAGAGAAGAGATCTGTCCAGATACAGAGGTGCAAGGCAAGTCAAGGGGAAGCAGTATTGCAGCAATCCTAGAATACAGCCACAGAGATAGCAGCAGAGTCCCATTCCAGTTGGCAGATGGGCGAGTCACATTGGCCACTGTCAGTCTCCATAGAGAGCATCTGACCGACTGCTCTAGAGCTCACACATTGTGGGTCTTTTTGGTGAGCTGTGGATCCTCATCCACCAGCTTTGACTTGAGATGTTCCTTGTAGGCGAGGATGTCGCCTTGCCACTTTGTGATTGTCTGCTTCTCACAGACCCAGATCTCCTGTGCAACCTGAAAGCAAGCACACAAGAAGGAGGAGGAGAGGTTTACAGTACAGCATTTTATAATTTTACCAAAATTACAAAATTAACTAAAATCTACTCTCTGAAGTTTGGTACGAAAAGAGTTTAATAACTTTTCACACTTCAACTACCAAAGAAAAATATCTGCAGTGAAATATCTTATCTGGTGTTTTCTGCATAATTTATACAAGATTTTAGAACTAAAAATCCTTGACCCTCAACATTTCTTTTTTTGTAAGAAAAAAGAAGTAAGAAAAGAAGTCTGTTTGACTAAGAAGGAAA